ACATGTTGACAAGCTCCTAGGAATACGCCATGGTGGGGAGAAGATTAAAATTGAAGTTTCGGAGGATGATGAAATGTACAAGAACTTGAAGAATCAGTATCGGAGAGTGCCATTCAGCAAAATACAGATGTGACATTATTTCTGGGGAGGAAGATCACAGATTTGAATTCTTGTTTGTCCTATACACGCTGGGTACCTTTCTATGTCCGTCATCTAGCTCAGAAGTGAGTGAGCGGCTAGTGAGAGTCATGCGTTCCACGATGGATGACTTTGGAAAGTATGATTGGGCAACACATGTTATGGAGGACCTATGGAAAGAAATGGCTGACTTTGTGAAGCTGTATAGACAGGGTAATGATGGGCAGGGGAGCAGTACTGTTGGTGGCTGCGTATACTTGCTTCTGGTATGACTATTTTGTTCTCACTGTGCAATACTTTATTGGCAATATGAACAATGTAATTGGTGATGATATGTGGTGTTGCAGCTTTTTTTCGGTGAGCATTTTAACCTCATTCAAGGTTCACAGCGAGGCTCCACCAGTGCTATCCAATACTGGACAGATGAGAAGATCAAAGAATTGGCAAATACTGAGAGGAAGAGCGTTAGGGGGCTGTTGTATGGTGAGAAAGGGAGTGATGTTGTGTTTGGCAAAGACGAGAGGATAAATGTTGATTCTCTGGACCCGGTATGTATATCTTTGGTAGAGTGATATTCTTGGTGAACTTCTTGTTTGTGATAGTTACGTTGTCATTTGATAAATTGACTTGGTATATATAAAACTTATGTTGTGATTAGGTTTAGTGAAGTTGTCATTTGTTATAGTTGACATTGTTACTTGATAAACTTAACCTGTTAAAAACGGTACCAAAGTTGTGATTGGGTAATGTGAACTTGTCATTCGGTAAAGTTCAGGTTTGGGTTGTTATTTGATAAAGTTGTTATTGATTATGCCTGAGTTGTGATGGGGTCAAGTGAACCTGTCATTTGTTACAATGTAGTTGTTATTTGATGTATCGAAGTTGCTAATTATAATTTATTAGTTGTGATTGGCTAAACTGAACTAGTCATTTGATATAGTAAAGTTGTTATCTGACATACCAAAGTTGTTATTTATACTACTGATGAACTTGTTATTCGCAATAGGGAGAGGTTGTAATTTGTTATAGTGTAGTAAGCTTGTAATTTCATATACTGAAGTTGTTATTTATAATATTTAACTTGTCATTGGGTAAAGTGAGCTTGTCATCTGCAATAGTGAGATCATGATGTGGTATAATTATGTTGCTAGTAAATTGATAAACGCCATTGTCATGCAGGAGCTGAAGCAGTTGCGTGCACGATTAATGAAGAGGATAGAAGAAAGCCATCAGAGGCTGATGAATATGGTAGATGAGGAGCTGTTGAAGGTGCACATTCCAAGAGAGGCAGATGGGAAGAGAAAAGGAAAGGCTCCTGCTGAGACACTCGCATCAATTGTTAGTGGGTCTGAAGATGACGATGAAGAGGAGAGACAGCATGCTGGTGAGACTAGTGAAGCTGTGCAGAAGAATGATGGAGGGAGTGATGGTGAGAGTAGTGAGGAGAAGGAGAAAGATGACGAGGGGAGTGATGATGAGACAAGAGAGGAGGAGGAGGAGGACAAGGAGAAGGTGACAGGGGGAGTGATGATGGGACAAGTGAGGAGGAAGGCAAGGAAAAGGATGATGGAGAGAATGATGAAGATAGTCAGGACAAGGATGAGGGACAGAGTGCACAGAAGGACAATGATGAAATGGAGGGTGACATACCCACGCCTACTACCCCCATAAACCTGTCATCTAATGTTGAAGGTGATGATGCGGAGGGTGACAGAGCCGTCACTATATCCCCCCTAGCAATTGTCAAATATGTTGACCCTGTTGAGAGGCAAACCCCCATCAGGGTGGAACCTTTGACAGCAGCTGAAGGTGTGCAGGCACAACAAGTAAGGAGATCTAGCAGGGTTCGCTTCAACAAAATTAAGTCTCCTTGGTTGGAGTTGAAGGCACAAACAAGGTTGAAGAGGCCTGCAGAGGATAAAGACATTTTCTTCACCATTGTCAGCCGAAGTGTGAAAGGTGATGAAGGCGACTAGTAAGTATTGTGATACTCAGCTTTTGTGATGGGGTTTTGTTATCACTTGTTAACATAACCCATATGCTAACTCACTTCAACCATTGTCAGTCCTTTGATTAAAATGTATGATGAAGATATTACCCGACGCTTGCTGCATTCTCTTGGGGGAAATAACAGAGTTAGTAACAGGGTCATGTCATTAGTTTGTAAGGCCGTGGTGGATGAGCAACAGGCTGTGGAAGGGCGTGTAAGGAGGCATATTTTTGATGCGGACTTCATGGTGAGGTTTCTTCATTAGTTTGTGAAATGATAAGTTTGTATATGAAAATTACAAGTCCTCAAAGGCAAATGACAAGTGTAGTATATAAAGTAACAACACTGTTAAGGCAAATAACCGTCTAAAGAAACTAATTGCAAACTGACAAAATCAATTTGTGTTCTTTATTAGGAGTTAATGATCCGTGACCCAGCTCGGTGGGACCCTAACTACCATGCACGACAAATAATTCCTCAATTTGTCGGGTACAACATAGGTGACTGTGACTTGGTTATGGGTCCTGCACTTGTTGGTGAGCACTGGTTTTGCTTTGCCCTTGAACCCAACACCATGAAGTTCTATGTCCTGGATTCCATGCGAGGAACTGTTCAGTCTAAGAAGACCACAACTAAGAAGAAGCAAGCAGTCACCTATGACCCTCAGGAAATGGCCATAGCAGGATGTGTAAGAATCACCTGGGCATATTACATTGTATTATTATTGTCTGAAATTATAGTGATGTTGATGAATATCTGATATATGTGTAGAGAGAAAGGTTCCACGACATTATTGGCATGGTTAGGCCAGATTTGACTGAGAAAATGCCAAATTTGGAAATTGTGCGGCCTGATGTACCTCAACAGAGTAATTTGTGAGTATACATACACTGCACATGTAATTTGCTGATTTCCTATATTTATTCTCGAATTGTTAAACTGTGATGGTGGTGTTGTTCCTAGGAGGGACTGTGGGGTGCATGTCCTAATATGGCTCAGCAGATGGGAACCCAATCTTCCACTAGAATACACCCAGGTGATGTGGTTTGCTTAATTGTTGTGACTGGTAAAGGGGCAAAGTAAGATTAACTTGCTGTTGAATCTGTTTTGCAGGGAGATGTGGCAGCTTTTCGGCGTGATCTAATGTGGTGGCTGGTGAACCATGATAACAATGAATGCCGTGAGGATGCGCTGAATCTTATTCCACATCCACAGAAGGGGCGAACGTCCAAAAGGAGGAGAAAGTCCCTATAGAAAAAGAATTTGGGCCATGAAGGACATTGACTGTAGATAATGTTACTGCGTTATCATTATGTGTAGTGAACTTGTTGTCTGGCCTAACTGCTACCCAGTTATGACAATTAGTAATGGTGAAATGACATTTTTATTGACATCATTGAAATTGTGTTCAAGTGATGCGATTTCCACTTTTCTTTAACGTATGACAACATCAATATGCCAATTAACAAGTCCATTAAGCAATATATGAAGTACCTTTTTTTATGAAATGACACTATTTCCACTTTTGTTTAACATCTGACAACTTCAGTATGCTAAATAACAACTCCGGTTAAGCGATACATGAACTTCAATTTTTTCAAATGAAGTTACAGTATTTCTACTATTGTTTGACGAGTGACAACTTCACTTTGCGAAATAACAACTTCGGAAGTGGAAGCGGCGAAGTTCATTTTTTTCCTGTTTAAATGACATCTTTCCACTTTTGTTTACCAGTGACAACTTCACTTTGCGAAATAACAACTTCGGAAGTGGAAGCGGCGAAGTTCATTTTTTTCCTCTTAAATGACAGGCTTTCCACTTTGTTTACCCAGTGACAACTTCACTTAGCGAAATAACAACTTCGGAAGTGGAATCGGCGAAGTTCATTTTTTCCTCTTTAAATGACAGGCTTTCCACTTTTGTTTACCCAGTGACAACTTCACTTTGCGAAATAACAACTTCGGAAGTGGAATCGGCGAAGTTCATTTTTTCCTTTAAATGACAGGCTTTCCACTTTTGTTTACCCAGTGACAACTTCACTTAGCGAAATAACAACTTCGGAAGTGGAATCGGCGAAGTTCATTTTTTTCCTCTTTAAATGACAGGCTTTCCACTTTTGTTTACCCAGTGACAACTTCACTTTGCGAAATAACAACTTCGGAAGTGGAATCGGCGAAGTTCATTTTTTTCCCTGTTTAAATGACAGGCTTTCCACTTTTGTTTACCCAGTGACAACTTCACTTTGCGAAATAACAACTTCGGAAGTGGAATCGGCGAAGTTCATTTTTTTCCTCTTTAAATGACAGCTTTCCACTTTTGTTTACCCAGTGACAACTTCACTTAGCGAAATAACAACTTCGGAAGTGGAATCGGCGAAGTTCATTTTTTTCCTGTTTAAATGACAGTCTTTCCACTTTTGTTTACCCAGTGACAACTTCACTTGCGAAATAACAACTTCGGAAGTGGAAGCGGCGAAGTTCATTTTTTTCCTGTTTAAATGACAGCTTTTCCACTTTTGTTTACCCAGTGACAACTTCACTTTGCGAAATAACAACTTCGGAAGTGGAATCGGCAAAGTTCATTTTTTTCCTGTTTAAATGACAGCTTTTCCACTTTGTTTACCCAGTGACAACTTCACTTTGCGAAATAACAACTTCGGAAGTGGAATCGGTGAAGTTCATTTTTTCCTGTTTAAATGACAGGCTTTCCACTTTTGTTTACCCAGTGACAACTTCACTTTGCGAAATAACAACTTCGGAAGTGGAAGCGGCGAAGTTCATTTTTTCCTGTTTAAATGACAGCTTTCCACTTTTGTTTACCAGTGACAACTTCACTTTGCGAAATAACAAGTTTTGTTAACCAATTGGCAATATCAGTATGCCAAATAACCACAAAGCACAGGTGGTTTGACAGCAACCTCTATTTGCTGATATAACAAGTAAGCAGTCTGCATTTACAATACAACCAAGGGAGTTTACAGCAATACTAAGTCAAATAACCACAAAGCACATGTGGTTTGACAGCAACCTCTATTTGCTGATATAACAAGTAAGCAGTCTGCATTTACAATACAAGCAAGGGAATTTACAGCAATACAATGTCATTTAGCAAAAAGTAAGAGGTCCGTTTACAACAACCAGATTTTGCAATAGTCAATAACAAAAAGACATTCACAACGTCGTTGACTTCTTTTTTCCTTGTCAGCAAACATATTACTTGCAAAAATAGCTGTGTAGCTATGCAACTAGCAACACCCTTCTCCCAAAAAAATTAAGAAGAGTGGAGCGTATATACACCAAAAAATTAGTTGTCGCTTGTAGAAATGAACTTCAAAATGGGTTGGGATTTTTGCAACTCCTCCTTGTGTGTCCAGGTTGGTGGCATCTGGTGCAATGGTAGACTTTTTTGTTCTGGAATTGTGATTCCTGCCGTTTAGTCCTTGGTCTTCCAGGAGGCCTACTTGTATTTGGTGGTAAAAGCAGGTTTGTTCAACAAGATTCTCAAACCTATAGTCATTTGGGTTAGGCATATCGATTGTTACCACTGGAACCATGCTCCTGCCATATATTTTCTCCTGTGCTGAAATTTTGTAACAATCTTCAACATATTCATATACATTTCCCCCCACAGTCTTAATGGCTGCACAAGCATGGCAGCATGGAATTCCTGACATTTGCCAACCAAGACAACTACATTGGTGTAGACCAAGGTCTACTCTTTGATCTCCACGAGATGTATGTACACACAGTCTTCCGCCTCCATAATTGTCACAGCTCATATACCTACTGAAATACACATTCTCCAGAACCTTTGCCTCGGTTTTTGGCCCAACACAATTCCTCCACTTACTCATACACATATATGATGCATGCATCTTCCTTGCTACTTTCTCCCGATGCTCATGGATCATTTGCGCCACATTATGCTTTCTCTCCTTCACCATCCAAGAATTGAAAGACTCAGCTATATTGGTTGTTATATTGTCCCATCTTTTAAATGGAAACTTGCTCATTGCCCACCTATTCACATCACCTTGATTGATAACCCAATCATGTAACTCAGGAGACATAGTTCTCAGCTCTGCCATTGCATTATCAAAGTCACTATCAACCCTTGCATAAGCTACTCTATCAAGAACCTTTAATGCATCTTCTTTTGACCATTGGCTTGTCCTTTTACCTCTGTTTACTTTCACTTGTTCAGCGCTGAAGTTTTCCTTCACATGCCTATAACAATACGCATGTCTTTCACCTCCAAATATTGCTTGGACAGCTCCTATTATGGCATTGTGTCGGTCTGACACAATTGTCACCTGCACCGAACCAACAATTTCTTTAATTTTGAACAGAAACCAAGTCCAGTCATCAAGGTTCTCTGATTTCACCACTGCTATTGCAAAAGGCAACAAGTCATTATCTGCATCATATCCCGACGCTGAGAGTAGTGTCCCCTTATATGGACCACTTAAATGAGTTCCATCAACATATAATATAGCCCTTGCACCACTCAAAAAACCCCCCGCCCAAATGTATTACCAATGGAAGCCCATTCAGCAACTGTTTTATCATCAGTTTCCTTTAATCTTTGGCATATCCATGGTATGAACATATAGGATTCTTCCGGTTTCCCATGTATGTGTTCCATGGCCTTTTCCTTTGCTCTGTAAGCTTGAGCATATGTTAGCCTCACACCATATTCCCTTTCCAGTGTCTTCCTTATTTCAGTAGGACGCTTTTCGGTGTGGTTCCTTATCTCCTCAAGTATTATTGATGACGTCAACGCAGCATTGCCAGCAAAAGTGACATCTAGGTTATCTTGCGCTGAATGAATGTGTTCATTAACGAATGTGGTCACGCGTAATAAAAGAGTATCCCTCCCAACAGCATTTGCACAAATCTTCCATGGACACCCTTCCACTTTACACCTCACATTCATCTTCTCCCTACTGTTTCTCACATATGTCGTTGCAAACTTCTGTGCAATACTAAACCTGTACACAGCCTCCCTAAAAGCTTGGGCATGTGGAATATATTGCCCCACTCCTGCAAAAACTCCAACCCATTTCATGCAATTCAAATTACCCCTCAATGTCCCTTCACTCCCTGAACCGTCACTGAAGTTTGTCTGACTTAAACCCCCTCCTTCATACGTTAGGCATTCAGCACCATAGTCAACAATGAGTGGTTCATAGTTATCACCAAGGTTCACCACACCTTCAGTCATTTCTCCCGACAGCCCAAACAAATTCTCACCCCTACACCCATAATAACAACGTTCGAATAGAAATTAGCAACAACACATTAGCAAATAACAACATTCTACTGTAACAAAGTTAGCATAATAACAAGATTTGTATGGGAAATATCAACAATTCATTATAAAATAACAACTTACTACTGTAACAAACTAAGCAATATAACAACATTTGAATGGAAATTAGTAACAACTCATTACCAAATTACAACTTCCAACCGCAACTTCATTACCTTAATTACAAGATTTATATCTAAATTAACAACAATTCATTACCAAATAACAACTTTCTACTGCTGCGCAGTGCACATGATAACAACATTTCTTTGGGTATTAACAATAATCCATTACCGAACAATAACTATCAACTGCAAAACTTTAACCGCTTACATTTCTCCATCATTCACTGCTCCACCTTCCTTCTGGTTCCCTTTCGCTGCTACATACAAATGAGCACTGCTATCGTTATATCTAAACATATTGCAAATATCACCTTCATCATAAAGATCAACCAGTGTGCCCTCAGCAAACTTAACCGTGTACTTAATTTCGCACCCTTTAGCATCATTGTGTACCAAATGTGATATTGTTTCTCTTAATTCCTCCAGTGTTATCCCTTCTTTTATGATGCTTGCTCTCACACTCCCTCCACCATATTTAACTTCACCTTCACTGTTTCTTTCAAAATACCCACCAACATGGAAAAAACAAAACAATTCCTTCCAACAGCTTGACCCATTGTAACAGTTCATTTTGTCATCCTAACCTGGAACAACAATTTACATATAAAAAAATATATTAGCTTCACTATACTTTTATTCAATCAAATTTGCATTTACAAATCAAGACCAACTAACTCTTCTCTTCCCCACTTGACATTAGGGTTTTACAAGTTGGACATTCTAAATGACAAGATCTTTACTCCTCTCCCCCCACTGCACCACCGTTAACTTCATACTCAAACTAATAATTATTACCTCCTTCCATTTCCCCTCCCCCACTCTCCCATTCGTGATATTCCTAACAGAGATCAGTGGCAACCTGCGTCATGAAAATCACAGGTCAACAATCTGACTACAAAGACTAATATTTTGAATCTCAACCCAACCGAACCCTCCTTAAACAGTATTATTCCATGATCAACTCCACCGCTCACTCCCTCCATACCTATCACCCAACAACCCACAATGCCACTCACCACATTCAAGAACAACATCACATTCCTCGGTCTTACAGGGTAGAGAAGAAGAAGAGTATACTTAGAAACATTACAAGCATTACTTACTTGATTCTCAACCATGTGCACCACCAATCTTCTCCTCCAAGCTCTCCACGATCACATTGTTTGTCTCAGCCTTCATTAATGAATCTGATTGACTGAGGGGCAATTTCGTCTTTTCACCAACATTTGCTATTTGCAATTTGAGACCGGGTCCCTCATGATAATTTAGCATTTTCAGGTGACCATAGAGTGATTTTGCTAATTCGAGGGTCTTTATTTGTGATTTCCCCTAAAATAATACTTCTTTCCATTTTAAATATAACAGCTTCATTACTGACTCATAAATTTTAAAAAGATTATTCAAATTAATTATTTGCAAAAAAAATTTTATTGATTTTCTTAAAATACCCTCTTACATTACCTTTATTGATGTAAACTCTTTTAATTAGTGATATATGTAATTAATAGAATGATTTAAAAGATTATAAATTAAAAAAAATAACTTGAATTATTATATTTAAAATTAAATATTATATTTTATGAACTACTATCTCCGGTTTTTAATATAAGAACCAGTTGACTAATTTGAATAAATGAGAAAACTAGTTAAATTAGCTATTTGTAATAATAAGTGTTGTCTTTGCCTAAATATCTTTACTAATTAAGTGTATTGACTAGAATTACCATATTTATAATGACTAACTTATAAAAATAAATAAATATGAGAAATAAAATAAATTAAAATATTATTTTAAAAGAGAAAAAATCCCCAAAAAAAGAACACTAAAATTAAAAATTTGCACACAAGTACTCACTTACAAAATTATTGTCAAAAACATATGAATATTATAACAGGTCTCTATTTATAATTTTTCTATTTGATGATTTTTTAAATAATTTTTCTTATTTAAAATTATTGTCAAGGCTCTAATATAATATTAACGAACCGGAGGGAGTAGTTCGGAATTATTCAGTTGTATTTGAACAGAGAAGGGCGCAGTGTCGTACCATATATTATATGCAAGGAAGCAAGCTTGTGAGTTGTCGTTTGTTGATGTTGGAAAAGGAAAATGGGGTGTTGTCGTTTTCAATGTGCGTGCATGATGAATCTTCAATGTACTTTCTGGCTCCGGACCTTTAATTTCAAAAACTTTAATAATGCATCCTCTCTGACAGTGCAATACGATCCTAATTCCTGTAATACCGTTCACCACATGATCATGTGCTTCGCCCGTAGCTTGTACGATTTGACTCTTCCTATTAGTACTTTTGGTCCGTGTTACAAACCCTTTTAACCATTTTAATATGACATGTTTTTTTTAAATAATAATTCTTTTACTTATTATCGGCTCATTTTTTTTTACTTGTTCCTGTTCAAAATATTACCTCCTATTCTAATTATAAGACTTAATTAACTAATTTAAAAAGATTAAAAAAATAAGTTAAGTTAATTATTTGTAATAAATAAGTGTTGTCTTTCCTAAATATCTTTGCTAATCAAGTGTGTTGGCTAAAACTACAATTATTAGAAAGACTATCTTATAAAAAAATATATAAATATGATAGATAAAATGGATTGGAATATTATATTTATAATCAAAATAAAATCAAAAAAAAATTTATATTAAGAACCGAAGGTAGCATGAACTTTAAGTCTTGAAAGGGTGTGGATTTGCCTAGTGACTTAATATATTTTTATAATTAATTATATGCCTCTCTCTGTTTTTTTCCCCCTCAACTCGTCACCTCTTTTTTTCTACTCACTTTTTTCATTCGCTGTCTCCGTAAATAAAAATATTTTAACAAAATAAGTTACATTTTTTATATATTTAGGGTCTTTAATCTATTTTAACTCATTTTTAGGATTGTGTAAAGCTTACATTTTAGGATAAACATAACATGATTTCTCTAAGGTGCACTCAAATTCCAAACCTTTAAGTGGGTTTACCCCATAAGTAAATTAGTTTTAAAAAATAATAAATATAAAAAATAAAAGAGATTAAAATGTTATATTTAAGATTAAATATTACCTCATAGGAAGAATTATGTAAAAGGCATGTCTTGGTGATCTCGTACATTTCATCTAAATATTCCAAACTTATTATGGACGTTGTTAGTATGTTGCTTTTCTACACAAGTCAATATATGGTGGTTGTTAATTTTGTTATTCATCGATCAAATTCAACTAACTTGAAAGCCATTATCTGCAGCCACCGAAAGCGTCGTTCGCATCTGGCAACCATTTTAATATCGTTGTTATATTACACGTTGTTTTAAAATCTATCTAACGTAGTATTGTTTAATTTGCACTTGCACGTGCACGTATGTGTGTGAGGGTGTGTTTTTAAGTCATCTAACCGTGGTCTGTGGACAATTAATAGAATTGACTCGACCTTAAATTGTTTAAAATTAAATTTAAATTCCATAATACATTTTGTTGTATAAATACATCATAATGTATGCAGTAGAAATTACACTGCATTTTACATCATAAATACATCTCAAGGTCCTTTTTTTTATTAAAAAAAAAACATAGGCAAGTTAGATCTCAGATGCTCACAAAAACTAAGATATGCTTCTAGGCTCAAAAAGTACTTAAAAAAGTATTTACATATCACCTACTAATAGAATTATCATACCAATAGCGGGAGCTAACTCCTTATTAATTGGACCAAAAAAAAAGTTATCCTCCTCCGATCCTTAATATAGGACCTAATTGTTAAGTTGATTTTAATCATAAATATAAGACCTATTTATCATATTTATCAATTTTTTCTAAATTATCTCTATGGATACTCTCTTAACCATAATCAAGTAGAAGAGAGAGGGAGGATATCAAGAAAAATAATTATAGTATTTTATAAAAAAACATGTCGTATTTTTTATAATTAACTAACTTACTTAACTTTATTAATATAATTAAATTAATTAAATAGGTTTTATATTAAAAATTAGAAGAGTATTTAAATTGGAAGTATCGTGGGTCAGGATGGGCTACTCGGTCAGCCTGACCTCCGCCCCATGAACACCAGGGATGACCCAGCCGCAAGTTGAGCCCAACATAACAAGCTCCGTCAAAAGTAAAAATTTGAAAACGAAATTTTAAAATGAGCATTTTCGCTAAAAGAATATATAATTAGATGGTCAATATTTTTAAAAAGAATGAGAAGATAATAATTGTACGTATCTTTACATAATATCAAGTTAACAAATTAATTTATAATCGCAAATAAGATTAAAATAATAAAATATTAAAAATTTTCTATGATTATGAAATGGGATAATTAATTCGCAAGTCCTTATAGTTTCAACGAATTTTGAATTAGGTCCTTATAGTTTTTTTTCTTTTTATCAGATCCTTATACTTTCACTTGTTTTTAATTAGGTTCTTGTATTTATTTTTCTTTTTATCAAATCCTTATAAGTTCATTTATTTTTAATTAAGTCCCTGAATTTTTTATTCTTTATTTTATGAATTCTAATAGTATTATTATATAAACATAAAATAGTATATATTATTTAATATTAGTTTATAAACAATAATATTCTAAAGATATTGAATTATTATAATGATTTTAAATTTTTCAGCAAAAAAATTAATTGTTCCTGAATTAATTAATTCTATTATTTTTTATTACATAATTATTAATTTAATTTACTTATTAATATTTTATATTTCATTATTAATCTATTTAATTAAGCTTATATTTAATTAATAAATAAAAATTAAAACTACATGGACCTGATTAAAAATTTAATGAAATTATAAGGACTTAATTAAAAGAAAAATAAATACAAGGACCTAATTAAAAAAAGGTAAAAGTATAAGGATCTAATAAAAAGAAAAAAAACTATAGGGACCTGATTCAAAATTGGTTGAAACTATAAGGACTTACGGATTAATTAACCCTTATGAAATAAAGTTGTTATGTGAGACAAATTGAAAAAACAGTACGGTAAAATGCTCAATATTATGTGAGACGCTAATTTTTCTATCTAGTTGTTTATATATAATTCTTTCACAATTGTCCCACAGTAACTATTTTTTGATGATTAAGTATTTTATTTAATCCGTTGGCAAAAAAAAAACTATTTTATTTAATCATCATTTACCCATCCAACTGATAGAGCCATTTGAATTAACTTTTTTTGACTGAGTGGTGTGACGGGTGACCAAATTGTCTCAGAACAAGGGGAAATTTGTTTTGCACTTTTATAGACATAGATACCTTTTTATTAAAAGTAATCATATTCAAAGTATTGTTGAGTCTGAAAGTGGGTACCTCTTTCAATAAAAATTTAAATATTAATTCACCATTTTGTGGAGGACGAGTTTTTTTTACCAAATCCAACTCTTGTTATTTGTTTTCCACTTTTACTTCCCCCCATAGAGACCAAATGCAAACAGTTGTGCTTGGGCCTAACTCAATCTGCCCCAAGAATCTGCCCAAAATAGTTTCGGATGAGGCCGGCCCAATTATAATCCTCCTCTCTATTTTGACCCAAACAATTTTAATCATCATCCCAACTACCTAAACCAGCCAATTAACCCATCATTTATGGGTTCAGCCGTAGGAACTACGCTCTCTTACTCAAAAAGAGAGAGTTCGATTCCCCGTCATGGTTCTTGGTAGGCATCCTAGAATGAGAGCGTCTAGATTAACACCTGAGGGCATAACATAAGCACAACATTAGTATCACTTAGAAGGAACCATTCAAACGCTTTACTTTTAGCTTGGATTGAGTCCGAACCAGTCTAAAGGGGTGTTTGGCAACCCTCAAAATTACTTTTGAAAAGTACTTTTTCGCAAAACGAGACAAACTCCTCCACATATTTATTTTGTAAACTGTAAAAGCACTTTTGAAATCATGGTTTGGCTTCTATCCAAACACTCCCTAAAATTTCTTGTACCAAAAAATAATAATAATAAACCAGCCAATTAGATTCCACGATTCAAATTTAGGCTTCATTGCGGTAACCCACCCTTCTCTCTCCCTCTGTTTTAGTTTTTAGTTGGAATTTGAAAAGTCTTTCACCTGTCAGAGTGAGGAACAATTAATTGTTGTAATCACTACAATGAAGATTTGAGAGTGGTGAGCATGGAAATATTTAATCAAAGCTGAGAATTAATTAAGTGTAATTAGATTGATATTAATATGAAGTTACGTGCAGATTTAATTTGGGACTGCAGCACATATCAAGGGGTCCCATAGAGTGTTTCAGTGCCGTAA